TTATCTTTTTCAAGGCTGGCCATAGCTATCTCTGTCAAGGCCGGGTAGCTGGCTATGGCTGTGAACTCCTGTTTTTCTGATTCCTGCAGAATGGCGTTTCTTAGGCTAAGTTGTGGGGGGGAGCATTTCATTGGCCCAAAGCCCCATGTCCTCATAATGGAGCGGGGGTCTTTCAGCCTAGAACTCACAGAGATCCACCTGCCTCTGCCTTTCAAGTGCCGGGATTAAAGGTGTGCTCCACCACCACCACCACCACCACCACCACCACCACCACCACCACCACCACCCCCCAACTGGATTTCCTTTTACACAAGTCCTTCTTGATTGCAAGATAGCTGCTCCACCTCCGCACATCACATACCAATCCAGGCAGGAAGATGGCAGTGGGGCAAACAGGATACAGTAACCATTATGTTTGTTCATTCATCTTTCATCAGGAAGGCAAAAGTGTTTCTAGACGACCCCTAGCAAATATGTATTTGATGTGTCAGACTATGCTAAACAACCATTACAAGCTGCAAAGAAAACTGGGAAATTAAATCTTCCATTTTCCAGTCACTGAATGAGAGTTAAGACGAAGAAGGAGGAAGTTGAGAATTCATGTTGAGTTAGCCAAATTATAATGTCTGTCTCAACGGGCTGACGTTTTACTAGGCAGTGTGTTTTCACACTTCATATCGTTAAATCATCACAACTGTGGGAGTTGGTCTTTGTTCTTTTAATTTTATTAAAGTGGCAAGTGTAATCTAGAGTGGTTAAGAAAATTGCTCAAGGAACCCAGCTCACAAGCACTGGCATCAGTTTCTATAGGACTCAAGAAACACTGCTAACGTGGGTAGATAAACATAACAGCATGCAAACAAGTGCTTTCTCAAGGGCTGAGCTTTGAGCTCCCCAGAGGCAGCATGCAGGCCTGTCTTTACATCCTTACACACTGATCCTGTCCTTACTTGGAGACAAACAAGGTCGCTTGGGATTAACCACTCTATTCCATTAGTCACCAAAGCTCTCTCATGACTCCCAACATTCCCCTATTGGTGAGAGATTTATAGACAGTGAATTACTCCCTTAATACCTAGCCTACTTATGTTCCAGACTTGATTTTCTTTTATTGATCATGATGTAGCCCTTGATGTATGCCAAGGAAACTAGTTTGCCCTCTGTTTTTCCCTGCCATAGATAGAGAAGAGCCTTAAATAAATCGCACTAATCATGTTAGTAAAAACAGAAAATAAGGCACATGGCCTTGTTCAGGTATTAAATAGCTTCTTTTCAAAGTTGTTGTAATACCACCATATAGATATTATAGAATAAGCCCCATCTTTTGCTAGGATAAACAATTTCATGGGATTGTAGGGTTTTTTTATATTATTATTACCTGTTTTAATGCATCTGGTTTTTCTTTGGGCTTGATATCACTTTTACTGCCTGGAAAAATTTCAGTTTACATTCAGATGTATAATTCTTGCAAATGAAGTACAGTTACATTCACATTATGCTCACCATCTGCAGAGTGAGTTCAAAAACCTTAATACTCTCCAACTGTGTTAACTTTTCCCAGGTGCGACCTGAAATTTCACAAAGTTAACACATTTAGTATGTAGATCCAGTAGGGTTTCTTTCTTTCTTTCTTTTTTTTTTTTTTTGAAAACCACATTTAAAATTATTTGATAAAAGTTCTAAATTCATTGTTCATCTCTATAGTCTACTAGTCAAAATATCAAAACAAACAAACAAACCATTCTCCCAGTCATTTGCAATCCTTGCTTTTATAGTCTCTCTCCCTTTCTCCCTTGGCCTCCTCCTCTTCGGTGTTTTTTTGTTTTTTTTTTTGTTTTGTTTTGTTTTGTTTTATTTTGTTTTTTTAAGACAAGGTCTCCCTATGTAGCCCTGGCTGTTCCTGGAACTCACAATGTAGACCAGGCTGGCCTCAAACTCACAGAGGTCTGCCTGCCCCTGTCTGAGATTAAAGCCATTCACCACCACACCTGCTGTTTTCTCTCTCTTAATCACCAAGGTTCTAGACTTTAAGGGGCTGGGAAGGGAGATCAAACAAATGAACTTGAACAAAGACAGCATTTTCCAGGAGGTCTTCAACGCTGTTGAAAAGTCAACTGCAGAATGAACAACAAAAACCAGTTGCCAAGTCAGCTGATGGTAAGTGTTCCAAAATGACCTTGTAGTTTTTCCTTCAGGAGACTGTGGTCCAAGAAAACATATTTAGTATCTTGCCTAAGTAGGTTTCAAGGAAATAGAGATCTTTGCTAATAACAAACCTTTTTGATTTTTTTTCTTTTATTCTTCTCTCACATATTGATCCCTACCACAGTTTCCCCTCCCTTCACTCCTTCTGGTCCCCCTCCCCCTCTCCCCCAGGGCCACAACTCCTCCATTTCCCTTCAGGAAAAAAAAAAAAGAGCCGGCCTCCCAGGGATATTCAACTGAACATTCTATAACAAGTTACAATAAGACTAGGCACAAACCCTCATATCAAGACTGGATGAGGCAACCCGGTAGGAAGAAAAGGGTCCCAAGAGCAAGCAAAAAAAAGTCAGAGACACCCCCACTCCCACTGTTAGGAGTCCCACAAGAACACCAAACTACACAACCATGACCTATATGGGCCTAGCTCAGACCCAGTCTGTGGGTTCAGTCTCTGCGATGCCCTATGAGCCCTGCTTAGTTGATTCTGTAGGCAGTGTTCTTGTGGTATCCTTGACCCCTCTGGCTCCTGCAATCCCTCCTCCTCTGCTAGCCTTATGCTTGCAAGTAATAACATACATCCATTTCCCAGGTTCACTCTCAACTATTTTATAAATGAATGTAAATAAACACTACAACAAGAGGAAATGTATGAAAACAAGAATTTGCATTATGCTCTTAAGAGGAGCAAGTTAGGGCTAGAAAGATGGCTTAGAAGTTAAGAGGACTAGCTCTTTTTGTAGAAGACCCTAGTTCTGTTTCTCGGCATTCATGGCTGGGGGTGGGGGCACTCGCAACCACCTGTAACTCCAGTTTTAGGGATCAGCTGGCCTCTTCTGGACTTCGAATGCACCCACAAGCATGGGCAAATGCAAAAGAGCACACAAGTGTGAGCACACACACACACACACACACACACACACAAATACAAATTAAATCAATCTTTTTTTTTTTTTAAATAGGCAATTCAGGTGGCACAAACCTGAAGTCTAAGCACTTGGAAGGTTGAGGCAAGAAGATCTGGAGTTCAAGACCAGCTTGGGCTCCATGAGAACATGCCTTTAAGATAGAGAAAAGAACAATTTACATAAAAATAATTATTTTACTAATTCCATATAATTCTTATTCACTAAGGTGTATCTCTAAGGATTTCTTCCAAGCAAGCTTTATTAAGTTTGTGTTACTGTTAATCAATAAATTAATTGGACAATTTATTTTTATTTCTCAATTATTACCACTGATCTTCCTGTCCCTCCCCAGCACACCATTTCTCTGTTCCTGCCACTATATTTAATTATTGGAAATTCCCAAGTCTGGCACTAGTTTGAAAGCAAACGACTGAAAGAAAAAACCCGTGAAAGCAATTGGTATCCAAAAGGAGGAGGGGCTGGGAATTGGAATTAGATACATGCCAGTAATCCCAGAATTTGAGAGGCAGAAGATTCAGGTGAGTTTGAGGCCAGCCTGAGCTATGTGAGACCTTGTCAGTGAATGAATGAGTGATTTTAAAAAGGAAAAGACTTCTATGTCTTACAGAGAGAGGACCTAAGGGAACTACATGCAGTCAATACATCACCTTTACTGGAAGTTTGTCAAGATTTCTTCTTTCCGTTTTTTTTAAAGGTGGTTCCATAGCTGGAGTGGTGGGTGGTATGCATTTGTAATCAAGAGGCAGCGGCAGGAAAATTACACATTTGAGGCCAGCCTGGAGTACAGATTGAGTCTAAGACTCGCCTAACCTACATAGGGAGCTCTTGTTTCAAACAAAGTTTGTTTGTTTTTAAGTTTATGTTGAAAGCGTTTAACTGCTATTATTATGTCTCTTTCTGCGTGGATCGGGGCTTTTTAAAGAGTGGTATAGAATTTTCAATGATTTTTCCGTGGTGTAGAGCCGACCGAAAAGCCCATGTGCACAAAATTTAAGTGATTAATAAATAGCTGACATAAAGAAAAGGGGAGCCTCTTCATTAGCCATACATACTGTTTTCTCTCAGCTTCTTGCCTTTCTCTTGCTCTTGGCTACTGTTAAGTCATCGGTGATTTAAAAAAAAAAAAAAAAAAAAAAAAAAAGGAAGTCTTTTGCTCAGAGAAGTGGCGGCTCCCTAAACGCTAATAACCGGGAGTAGATTCTCTCTCTATGCGGTTCTGCAGAAGGTGCTCAAGGTGCTTGGAAGGTGCTTTGACGCCTCATCAAGAGCACGCGGCTTCACTGTAAGTTAGAAATGGAAAGTTGAGTGTAAAACAGAAGTCAGTTTGTTCACACAAGGAAAATCAAAGTATCGGTGTGACTTTCCAGTAAGTGACAACCTGGGTCTGCGAACTGGGTCTTTGGGATCATTAACAAAACTGCAAGAAGGAAGAGAAGACACAGCAGCTGCTGGGGATGTTTTCCGCGCGGCGGGGGCAGATGGGAGGCTCCAGACTGGCCCGCGGCGCCTCTGCACCTGGCAAGAGTGTCCGAAGCACACCTGCGGGCCGGGGCGGCGCCCCTGGACGCACTCCCGCGCAGCCGGCGTGGGCGCCCCCAGGGGGTTCGGCGGCTGGGGAGCAGACGTGCTGGAGCAGCTTCCGTGCACCGGCTCGCCTCCAGGGGGCCGGGGCGCCAGAGTACTGCGGCGCGCAGCCAGCTCCGGCCGGCCGGCGTCTCCCGGAGGCGCGCGGAGTCGGCGGTGCGGTGCGCTGCGAGGACAGGTGCAAAGATTGGCCCGTTAACTCCCTGCGTCTCCTCTAGCAGCACCCCCCAAGCCCCCGCCCTCCCTCCTTTCAGTTTTAGGATCTCCTTAGTGTTTGGATCGGTTCGCTCTTCGTTATGCGTTGCGCTGAAAATGACTCGATGGTTTCCCTACTTCTTTGAACTGAACGCTAACTGCAGAAAATGCCTTATCGGGAGTTGGATTAAGAGGGAGGAGTGTGTGTGTGTGTGTGTGTGTGTGTGTGTGAGAGAGAGAGAGAGAGAGAGAGAGAGAGAGAGAGAGAGAG